TTGCCACCTGCATGACCCAACCAGGGCCGGGGACAAACTGCAACCGAGGTACGTGCCCTTAGCGGGAACCGAACCCGGGTCTCTCTGGACTGCAGGCTGACACTCTAACCGCTGAGCCAAACCGGCCAGGGCAAGACTTCTCATATCTTAAACGATCAGGGACAATTTGGTATTTAAAAAATTATTATTGAGAGTACTTACTTAAAGCAAATAATCCCTTAGAAACGTATATAACTGCGTAGGATGTACTTTCGTGACATTAAGACCTCCCCGTGTTGAACCTCCCCGCGGAGGGGCTGTCAGCTCACACGCACGATCGAGTGTCAACAACAGAAACCTGTGGTCAGGACAGAGCCACCTTCCAGAACGTTACGAATCCGTCTACCTGGAATTGGCCGAAACTGCTTACGGCAGCACCTGACCCAACAGGCAGATGTACAACGGACTTTTATTTAATGGACAAATGAAGGTGGCGCCACCCGGCTGTGGACTACAGCACGTCACCCCTTCAAGACTGATGACACTGCAAAGGGGCGTCCACTGGGCGGCAGCACTGTTCTCATGGGAGAAGGAACATGTCCCTGTGGGTGGCGGAACTCGCTTCCCTTAGACAGTGCATCCTCACACCAAATCTGGGATGGAGAAGGGTTTACTGCGAGAAAGATGCATGCAAAAAGCACTTTTGGGATCCATCCCTGGGTATGTCAACAGAACTTCAATAACTAGCTGTTTGTGTTATTACCATCGGTAAAGAGACTGGGTCAGAGGGTCCTTCGGCCGCTTAGACTGTCCGGGGGGACTTCGCAGGGCAGTCACTCTTGAGGCTGGTGATGAATGTCAGAACTAAGAATGCAAGATCTAGTGATACACACGGACCCTCACGGGCGGGACGCAGGGTGCTCCGGGCAAGGAAAGAGGCAGCTCCAACTCTGCTGCCCAGTGCAGCTTCCTGAAGCCCACTGAGCGGCCAGGGGTCTAGCACAGTCAGCGAGACGTCTGCCGCCGCACTTGAGGGTGAGTGTCGTCAACAGAACGATGCTGAGGATGAATCTCCGATGACATGAACCAAACGCAACAGCACTGTGCGGACCCGGTTCACCGCAGGCTGAAGAAGTGTCCTTTTGGGAAGCAAGTGAACCAGCTTCTCCAACAGCGGGGGCGGGGCACCTGGGCCAGAGCAGCAGGGGCGGGGCCCAGCTGAGCCGCGACAGGACACCAAACCATGCTCAGAGACCAGAGTCCACGGGGAGGCAACTCCTCGAATGAGCAGGTTAAACTGCATTTTGGTTAAGAAGGACCCAGGTTCAAGTCCTGACTGCAGCCCACAAGCTGCGTGACATTGCGTAAGTCACCAGAATGACAAGACCTACTCCGCAGAGCTGGTGACGCAGAATCGCATCCCCATCCTGCAGACACTGCTCTGGGCGTGGGGGTTCAGCGTGAACAGGGCAGACCTGCCCTCTGGAGGAGGAGAGGCAGCTACAGAGGACTACGCAGCATGTGCGGCACCTGCGACAGGGGTGCCATCCGAGGGCGGGCGAGTTTCACAGGAGTTCAGAAAGCTGCACCGCGGTGACGTTGGAATAGAGGCCCCAGGGCTGAGTGACAAGCCACCGGCTTCTGTTGAGAAGGAAGGTCCGGGCAGGTGGACAGATGCCGCAAAGGCCCTTGCAGACCTTTCATTACGTCTGAGGACCAGGTGGGAGGCCAGTGTGGCTGGAGGGGAGCGAGAAGGGGGAGGTAGTGAAAATGAGGTCAGAGGGCTAGTGGGTCCAACCTGGCAGCCACCAGCCGAACGCGGCTCGGACGCACCTGCACTTCTGACATGAGATGCGCAGGAAATGCCACATTCACTCTGGAGTTGGAAGATGATACTAATAAGTTTGCTATATTGGGTTAAAGAAACCATATTATTAAAATTGGTTTCATCTGTTTCTTTTACCGCCTTCCTCTGGCTACCAGAAAATGTCAGCTACACGCGTGGCCTGCATGACACGGGGTCGCAGGTCACAGTGCGGAGCGGGGCGTTGACCTTGACAGCGTGGGAAGGAAGATGTGCGCAGGAAGCTCTCAGCGTATTTCCCGGGGCACAGCGGAGAAAGCCCCGGAGACTGGACTTCCGTTCAGACACATCGCTCGGATGTAAAGGCGAATAAAGACATTTGAAGGGGAGATACTGAACGTAAGAAAGAGTAATAACACTAGTACAAGTTAAGTTTGAATAACTGTTTGGAATGTAGTGATAAGTGAAACTAGCAAGTGATGATTATTGAAATACAAAACAAAGTAAAATAAAACAGAATATGACAAACAGATATAACTGAATCCATTCCTAAATTCCAAATGGATTGGAGAAAAACAGGCATAAAAAACAAAACCAGCCCGGCCGGTGTGGTTCAGGTGGTTGAGCATCGTTCCATGGACCAAGAGGTCCTGGTTCGATTCCCCGTCAGGGCATATGCCCAGGCTGCGGGCTCGATCCCAGATCATACAGGAGGCGGCCAATGGATGCTCCTCTCTCACCAATGTTTCTGTCTCACGCTCGCTGTCCCTTCCTCTCTCTCCCCGCCCTGCCCAAAAAAGGCATACAGGTATCCCATTAGCCATCCTAGTAGATGTGAACTGGTTTTATGCTTTTAACTTGCATTTCCATGAGGCCAATGAGGTTAAATAATTTTCATGAGCTTACTGGCTATTTGTGTGTCTTCTTCTACAAAGTGCCTGTTTAAGACTTCTTCCCTTCTCTGCGATGCTGTCCTTTCTCCTTGACTGACAAGCGTTGCTATGTTCTAGACAGCCCCTGGTCAGACATGAGGACAGACATGTTCCCAGGCTCTGGCCTGGCCTCCCATCTTGTGCTCACAGCTTTAATCAGCACAGACCTTCTCAGTGTCAACAGAACCCACATCTTTCGATCTCTTCTTTCAGGGTTGGTACTTCATGTATCTTGTTTAGAAATTCTTTGCCTGCCCTGACATTAGGGGGCTCTGCTATCTTTAGGAAGCTTTATTTTCCCCTCTTTTTACTCCAGTCTAGGCTCCTTCTCGAATCTGTGTGTGTGGTGTGAAGTAGGGGTCCTGGGTCTTCATTCCGATGGACGTCCACCAGGCCCGTCACCGTACGTCGAAGAGACAAACCCTCCTTCCCGCACCGTCATGTCACCTTTGTAATAAACCCAGGGACAGTGCATCGGAGATCGGGTTGGAGTCCTTAATTCTGCTCCTCTGATCTGTTTACATCTTGGTGCTGTCACCACACTGCATTCATGACTGTGGCTCTCATGTCAGTCTTTGGAGTTGGTGTGTAAATTCTCCACTCTGCTCTCCTCCTTCGAGAATAGCCGGGCCCTTCTGCGCAGTCCGCCTTGTCGAGGGGCCTGGCCAGTCTCTCTCCCCTCCCCTCTCGCAGTGAGCAGTGTGGGCAACAACATGAGCACCAGCTCGGCTGGAGACTGAACAGTAAACACCCACGCATCCACCCTGATGTAAGGAAGCCAGTAAATGAATAAATGAGGGCAGGGGCCCATCTGTTCCTCACAAAAGAATTTCAAACAGTAACTGCAGAGAGACGGAGGAAAACAGAAAATCCCACACACGTCAAGGCAAGGCTCACTGATGAACGCTGGCGGTGGTGGGCCAAGCTCAAGGGGAAGCAGAGTGTTTGCGTAGCCTTGACGGATCCCCTAAAATAGTTATTTATGTCACATGAATTATTGATTGATTGATTTTAGACAGAAAGAAATATCAATTTGCTGTTCCCTTACTGATACATCATTGGTTGCTTCTTATCTGTGCCCTGACCAGGGATCGAACCCACAACCTGGGCACACTGCGGTGACACCCACCGACTGAGCTTCCTGGCCAGGGACAAACATGTGTTCATCACTGTGGTGGTTTGACACCCCTACACATTCTCTGCTGCTGTTCCCTTCGGGGGGAGCTTAACTGTCCTCCCGGAGTGTGCCCTGGACTGGGTGACTGGCTTCCGACGAACAGGCTGCGGAAGGGAAACAGTCACCTCGGAGGAGGCCTGCAGACAGCGCCTTCAGAAGGTGGAAGATTCGTGCGCCACTTGTAAGGTGCACGGACGCCAAGTACGTCCCATGTGACGCAACCGGGGAAGAACCGCCTGTGCGTTGTTCTTCCCCCAAAACTACACCCCGTCCCAACCGTCCGAAAACCCTCAGAAACCCGCATCAGGGGACGATCTGAGAAACTACTGCTACTGCTCTTCCAGACTCTAAAGGCCAAGAAAGAGAAGGATGGGACAGGACTGTCACAGAGGAGAGACTGGGAGACATGACACCGACTGCGTGTGCTCTCCCGACTGGGCCCGGGACAGAAAGGATGGGACAGGACTGTCACAGAGGAGAGACTGGGAGACATGACACCGACTGCGTGTGCTCTCCTGACTGGGCCCGGGACAGAAAGGATGGGACAGGACTGTCACAGAGGAGAGACTGGGAGACATGACACCGAATGCGTGTGCTCTCCCGACTGGGCCCGGGACAGAGAGTTGCGGGTGACCCTGAAACCTGGTGCAGGTCTGAAGCGCAGTGCCGGTGAGGAGCCGGGGTGCCCTAGCTCGGGGGGCGCACTGCTCCGTGGAGGCGCCGCCATCGGGAGACGCTGGGCTGGGGAAGGAGGCTCGGGCTCCATGTCTCCTCTGTGACCTGACGTCACTTCCGAGCAGAAAGCTGTGCCATGTTCTCAGGCCCTTGCCGGGCCCTCTGGGAGCGTTCTGCAGGCAGCTGCACTACCAGCTTGCACTGAGTGTGCCTGTGTCCCCCGAGACAGCCGCGGCGTGGGGGCTGCACGCGGGTGGAGGGAAAGCCGGGGTGGGAACCGAGGGAGACGAGCCAGCCCGAGGGCTCGCAAGGGGACGCGGGCCCTCGCTGCGGAGAACACGGAGAACTCGCGGCGTCTGGGTCCGGGAGGGCACCACTGGGCCCTGAAGTGGTCCAGGGCCTGAGGGCACAGGGCATGGATCTGACTACTCACCAGGGCGACTTTCCTCTGCGGTTTCAGCAGCTTCGGTTTGTGGAACGAGGCGGCGATGGGAGCTGTGGAGGGCATCAGGGGTTCAGCCTGCAATCCCCCAGCACGGGCCGCCCCGACGGGCTCGGCGGGTGCCCCCAGTCCTCGGACACCATCCTCTCCCCTCGCCCAGTTCAGCACAGCGGCGAACTCTGCCCTCTGCAGACGGGCCAGGTGTGCGGGCCAGGGGCAGGCGGGCCTGGCCCCTCCCCGGGGTCCTCACTGCTCGCTGACCCTGACAGCGGTGGCCTGTGACCTCACGGCCGCCTCATTGGTCATCAGGGAGGGCAGAAACAAAGATATCGAGGCCCTTAAAGAGCAGGAACTTGAGCCCCTTCCCCTCACGTCCTATAACTAGTATTAGATGATGTGAGACCGAACTCAGCCTTGCAGTCAGACGGGCCTCACCACAGGGCCAGGCGTGCGCCTCAGCTCTCCGGGCTCACTGGCACAGCTGATCGAATGAGACGTTCCTGCCCACGCTGTCTGGCCAGGCGGGGTTCTCTGCCCCCCAATCTACACCTGCCACGCCTCACAGGACGCCCTGCCTTTCCGCCCTCTGTCCTCCCAACTGTTCAGCCTGAGCACGCCCCGACTTCATCACAGGGCCCGGTCCCTAGGGGACAGCCCCGGAAGCCCCAGTTGAGGGACCACATGTATCTGCCTCGTTATTAAATGGTTCACCTGGGCGATCCTGGTACTTCCAACCATGTTCCCAATTCTTTCAGGTATGAGCTTCTCTCAAAGTGCCCAGTTATCACAGACACTATCTCCAGATGGTCTTGGTTCTCCCGACATGAAGGGATTCTCTCCTCCAGAAATACCCACCCTCCTCGTTTATGTTCCTTTCGTCATAACTGGAATCAAAGAGCCACCCTCGTTTTATCCTCAGAGCAAATCCAAAATAAATTACCTCCCGGTTTACACCTGTAGATCAATCAAGAGCCTTCTTTCCCTTGAACGAGCAAGATGTGACCCTGTGCCCCTCCCACTACGGGCAGAGCATGCTGATGGTTTACAGTGAATACACTGTGGAGCCAGTCAGGGGATGCTGACCTCCCCCTCCCCCAAAGCAGTGCCGGGCCAATGGCACCAGCCCGGCCCGCCCCGGGGGTGGGGCTCAGTTGCAACCAGAATCTAGGCGGGGTTCTCTGGACCATATAATCACTAGATGTCATGTCCTCCATCCGTCTTCTCTCCCGGCCCTGACCCCACATCAAAGCCCTGGCCCACTTTTGGGTCAGTCGCGGTGGCTTCCTCGTGGGTCACTGCAAGCTAGCTTCCTACCTTTGGCAGGGACAGCGGGAGGGACGTCCACCTTCTCCTTTCGCCTCTTGCCCTTCTTGGGCTGCAGTGGGGCCAGGCTGGTCACGCTGGTGACAGTCTCCCCAGAGCTGTGGAGGAAAGGGGGCCCGGTTAAGACAAAGGCAGGTCTGTTCCAGGGAAAAGGACAGGAAGCAACAGTTCCCAAGTGCTCCCGGTACACCTTTGTAAGGTGGGTCATCGTCCAGCTCAATGGGCGCTCTCTCTCCTCTCCAGGGATGTCTGGACCTCTGCACTGACCCTTGGCTGAGAAGGACAATTCGATGAGCTGGCTAGTGATTTATAATGTGTGGTTCAGAGTCCAAAGAGGCCTGGAGACACCTAGGGCCAGCTCATCTGTGTTGCTTGGGGTGTACAGATTTATGGTGACACCTGGTTTCCCTGGCCGCACAGGTGGGCTTGGCTACATCACCAGGAGGGCACTGAGATGTGACAGGAGCTTCTGCTTGAGCTCCCCTAAAACCAGGACCCCTTGTACACATCCGTGGTTCACAAGCTCAAGACAGGCTGCTCCTGGCCAAGCGAGACAGGCCCAGGGGAGCAGCCTGGAGCCCTGAGGTCCCCAGGACTGTGCGTGTGTTCTGCTGCTGCGCTGCGACCTGCCCTGCAGGAAGGCTAAGTGAGGTGCCTCGGGAGTGCTGTTTTCTATCGCCGCACTGTCAGGTCCTTTCACGTGTCCTCCGGGATCGGCCAAGTGGTTACCGGTGAGAAGACCAGACCTGAAGATGCCGCTGGCTTTCTCTGAGTGAGCGCCCTACGCAGCCACACGCGAGCTCCAAGCAGACCGCCTGCCGTGCAGTCTGCTCTTGATGCTCCACGGGGTGGAGTGCACGGACCTTCTTGAATGGCGTCAGTCCTGGTACAGTTACCAAGACAGGCTCGCCTCTTAATACATAAACAATTTCTAGAAATCCCTAAGAACATGACCGACTGCCTGTAACAATCAAAACGAATGAAGGCCGGAAATTGCATATAAAAACCAAGTTCAAACGCACTGCAGTTCCTCTCCCCACGTATCAGAACAGCACCCATCGAACTGACGGCACTGCACGCTCTGGCCAGCGTGTGGGGACAGGCACTGTGTCGCTGGGGGAGCGCACACCTCCCGATGGGAAGCGCTGGGGGAGCAGAGTGCCTTGGGCTCTCAGAACTGCAGGGAACCTGCCAATTTCACTGGAAGCACTTATTCTGGGGATACCCTTGCAGGCGCGTGAGAACGCGTGGATAGTACATGTGCTGCTTACAGCAACAGACTGACAGCAGCCCAGCTGTCCAGGGCAGGGGACTGGTCACGAGAATTATGGTGAATCCACAACTCTGTAGCTGGAAAGAGGAAAATATACATCATTAAGGGAAAAATCTAGGCGTTGGAAAATGTGTAAAATGTGATTTTTTAAAATAAAAATAGGAGAGATAAGAATGAATATATATATATATATATATATATATATATATATATATAAATGCATAAAGAAACTCTGGAAGTATTCAGGAGAATTTTAAAATAGTGGTTCCTTAGAATGGGGGTGCTGAGGAACTAAACAGATGGAAACTGAATAGGGACAGTAATTAATATATATATATATATATATATATAAAATCTACATGTATACACACACACACAAATACGTACACACACTAAATTATTTAACATTTAATTTTAGTTATTAAGCCACTTGATTGTATAATCTTCGAAAAGCAGTAAATTAAACACAAATAAACATGAAGATATATTTCATAAAAGAAAATAGACTATTGCGCCCTGGCCAGTTTGGCTCAGCGGTTAGAGCGTCGGCCTGCGGTCCGGAGAGACCCGGGTTCGGTTCCCGCTAAGGGCACGTACTTCGGTTGCAGTTTGTCCCCGGCCCTGGTTGGTCGTGCGGGTGGCAGCCACTCGATGTGTCCCTTCACGTCGATGTTTCTCTCTCTCTCTCCCGTCCTCTCTCTCCCTCCCACTCTATCTGTACAAAAAATGGAAAAATATCCTCGGGTGAGGATAAAAAAAAAAAAAAAAAAAGACAGAAAATAGACTATTGCAATATAGTCCTACAAATTTCGAAATAAATAAAGACTGACACACATTGTGGGAAAAATTCTAAGAATACAGTTTATACTGAAATCCCCTAGAGATGGCTGATGTTTATTGGGAGCAGAAACTCTGACTGGCCATAGCTTTAGAATACATGGTCAATTGCACAGATGCACAAATAGCCACAAAAGAACACGTGTTTACTAAACTCTGATTGCTAAGAGAAAACAAGGCATCAGAATCTCTGAGAACTGCTTGAATTTACATGTACAGCTTCATTTCATAGCTTTATAAACTCCCAATATGTGCATTTCTTCTCTTTCCATTATCAATTATAAATGCATCCATGTTCCTGTTTTAAAAGGGTAATTACAGGCATGGAGACAGGAGAGAATAAGTCCATCACAACTGAAACACAACCTTCACAAGCACCTCACACAAACCTTTGCTGCCAGTGTTTTCCTCCTGTATTTTCCCCATGGACCTCATTCTTCAGAGAAGTTTGGGGTTCACAGCAAAATTGAGGGGAAGGTACAGAGATTTCCCACATAGCCCTGTCCCCTCCCCCAGATACATGCCTCCCTCATTATCGATATCCCCAACCCAAGTGGTACATTTGTTATCAGTGATCAAAAACACTGACACATCATACCACACAGTCCACAGTTCACTGTAGGGTTCACTCTTGGGGCCGTGCATCCTATGCGTTTAGACAACATAGTGTAACATGTCCTACAGAACAGTTCACTGCCCCAGAAACCCTCTGTGCTCCACCCCTGTAACCCTCCCCCCACTCAGCTCCTGCCAGCCACTGACCTATTTATTCTCTCCCTGGTTTTGCCTTTTGCAGAATGTCCTATGGTTGGAATCATACAGTATGTAGCCTTTTCAGATTGGCTTCTCTCACTTAGAAACATGCATTTAAATGTCCTCTACTCTTTTCATGGCTCCATTGTTCATTTATTTTTAGCACTGAAAAATATTCCATTATCTGCATGTACTGGGTTTATTTATCCATCACCTACTGAAGGACATCTTGGGTGCTTCCAAGTTCTGGCACTTAAGGACAGAGCTGCCATAAACATCCATGTTCAGGCACCAGGCAGCAAGGAGCCGGTTACTCTGCCACGTCACTGCGCCTCCAGGACAGCCCTGGGGAGAGCGAAGGCCAGTCTGTGCCCGCCGTGGGGGCGGGTCACTCCCAGAGAAGCGGAGGACCGGCCAAAGTCTCCAGGCTGCTGGTGGCAGCACAGACCCACGGCGCGTCCAGGTGGGCTGTTCTCCACGTCACACCAGGAGCAGCAGCCAGGCCCCTCACGGCCTAGCCTCCCGGGTCTGTCCCTCCCGGGGCAAGGGAAGAGGAGAACACTGAGCCTGAGCACTGGGATGGGGTGGGGACAAGTGGCACATCAATGACGGCCGGGGTGCCAGAGAGAGGCCAGGGGACAGGCCCTCGTCGCTGTCTTTGCGTCACCACCTGGGTTGCTCAGGTGACTGTGGACAAGGGAAAAGCATGCAGCATACATGTGGGCTAAACGCAAACCACCACCACAACCACGGCTGCGGTGTCTGCAAACCCATGTCTGTGACCAGAGCCCACTGGGCTTTTCAAGGTCAGGGATGCAGGCGGCTGCAGCCCCCCCCACCCCCCCCAGCTTCGCCCTTCCCACTCCCCTTGCACTGCCGACCTTCCCGGAGCACCCACTCCTTGTTCACGCCTGTGACGCACCCACCGGGAAACCCAAGCTCCAAGCACACTGGGACAGTGCATCGGCCCTGGAGCCGGGGCCTGGCTGGCATCCCTGGCTGCTGCCCTGGCGGCGAGGAGGCCTCAGCCCATCACACTGGTACCAGCGTTCAGCTAAGACTCGGTCCCGGCACTGCTGTGAGCAGGGAGGCTGCCTTGTGTCAGCACTGCCAAGGGGCATCTACGGAAAGTGGGGCTTCGTCACTGTTAAGATGATGCCATCCCTGGGCATCTGGCCCTGGGCCGCCCAGCCTCCCTCCCTGCTGCTCCGCCGGCCTCCGGGGCTCTCCGCTCCCGAGCCAAGTCCCTCCAGCCCCGGCCTTTCAGCTGCTTCTCTCCTGCTCTGGTCGGCCTGGCCAACCCGCCCTCGGGGGCACTCTCCTCGCCCTTTGCCCTTTGCCCTTCGCCCTTCGCCCTTCGCGACTGGCCCTGCCCCCCCCCCCCCCAAGACCTGAGCCGGCCCTCGGAACAGGACAGCTCTGCGGGCGTCCCCAGGGCGCTGCACACTGGTGCCGCTCTGGTCTCCCACCGCCGCAGCCTCCGGGGCGTGGGCTGGCCCTCCACCTGCTCTACGGCCTACTCTGTCCCCGCGGAAGACCCACTCACAGTACCGACCGAACAGACCGGAACCATCAGGTACCAACTCATTCAGTCCCTCCAACAACGCCCTGCGCTAGGGCGGGCACCGTGGTGCCATCTCACAGGGAGGGACGCGCCGCCAGCCGCAGAGCCAGGCAGGAACCAAGGCGCCTGGCCGCCCAGCCCGACCGTCACAGCAGCTGCCTCTCACGGAGGGGACACGCCTGCCACATGGCTGCTGCCCAGGATCACACAAATGAAGCAAGTATCACGCCTCTAAGTTCCCGGCACCTCTCTCTAGATTCTTTTTGAAATCGTTAAGTCTGGCCCCACTCTAAGATCCTGAGCAAATCATCGCATTAATAAAGTCCCGTACGTCGATGGCTGCGGTAGGCTTAAAAATCTGATGCTTCAGAAAAGACTGAAAATGCTGTAAACTAAGCTCCGCACCACAGGAAACGTGCCTGCGTTTATCCAGCACAGAGTCCTCTCTGCCACAGAGGACCCGGCCGGCTGGGGGATTTCAACCGGCACAGGCAACAGAATGCCAGGTTAATGGGTCCCATTTGCAGATACTTTGTCATCTCAAACCCATCAGAAGAGGTCAAACCAAAGGTCAGGAAGCGCACCCACTGGGAGCTGCCTCTCCAGGGCCCTTGTGGGCTCAACTTCCCTGCGCTGACCTAGGCAGGCACTGACTCCGCATCCTGGTGGGG